CTTCAAGTGTGTTTACTTCTGTGGCTGTGGACGGGTAGAACACAGCGAAGTTCCTGCGGACGGAGATATRCAATGASTTWTAGGTATGTATGTAGGTGTTCAGTAMAGTGTTGTTGCAACACGCTRCATAACTGACCAAGTGGAGCATTCCGCACGTCTGGTGTTGCTGCGCTGCCGGAAATTGAACGTGGCGATTTTTGTGTAGGCAGGATTATGTGGGTAAACGTCTATCCCAGCGCGGTRCAAGGTTACCACGCAGCATTGAATGACTGCGCTTGACGGTATTCATATAGCAAACGCATGTGGATGCCACTTGATACCAATACTTACACGCATACTTATTGCTTGCTCTCTTGCTCGGATGCACTCGAGTCCTATGAACATTGTTTAAGCGAAAATATTGCGCTTGTCATTCATATTGAATGCTTCAGGTTGCAATAATGGGACGCAAGGGTTTCATATCCTGCCTTACAGAGCAGCACTGCAGCAAGATGATTTCTGTCATTGCGTCAATTTATATTTCTTTAAGCTACTAAGCGGATATTGTTAAGTACATATGTATGAGTGCTGTGTGAACCACGTGAATGATAAATCGACCGCTCGTTTGAGGTTATGTAAGCAAGTCATGGAAGACAAATTTAAAGCATACCGTGTTTGAGAATATTTTTAAAATAAAGTAACTTTATGACATYTGAAAAAATTTTACCCGGACTAGTTCATTTAGACTGTGTGTTTTAGTTAAAACCTTAACTTAGAACTTGAACGAAGGAAAACAACTRAAAATTGGATTTTGGATAACACCGTTTAAAGACGGCACACTTAGCCCAGCTAGCCTCGAGCGCATAAGTTCTAAAGGTTATATCCCCGAACTATCTCTCGGATCTACTTGAAAATTTAAAACAATATTCTAAAGGTGCTGTAGAATTTAATCTCTGTTCGGGAAGAGCTAAAGAAACAGTGCTCTTTAAATCGTAGAAACAACAGAAATCTTGACATTTTTTATGGATTGACTCAACACTTTTGGTTAATATTGGGCCGAATTCACTAAAGGCTTGTAACAATAACATTTGGTATATGGAAAATTGGTTAGGTTTTGGCATGTAAGCAWTGGCTCAGGAGCCTATTCTGAAGAYCATAATAAAGATTTGTGTAAAAATTCAAAAAATGTATAGAAATTCGATWTAAATGTCAAGTTATGGGAACACCATACAATAGTTTTGTAAAGTTTTCAAATTCATAACAATTTAGTAAAAAAAAAATTTCGGACTTTCAGAAGACAAAATATTGGGTGGTCGAAAAAGTCTTTTCGTATTTTGTCACTAGATGGCGTTGCAGTCGTATAAAATATGAAGCTAAGAGAAATTTAAATTGTATTTTAGTTTCAGTTTTAGTTATTAATTATAAATTATGAGTGTATATGCCTTTCTATAATAGGCCGTTCAGTCTGCGACCACTCCCCCAAATAATTTATGTTCACATAATCATAAAACTACAGGAGTAAATCATAAATAAAAATGTTTCAAGCAATGCAATGGTTGGTAGACGCTGATGCAAAAAAACGCAAAAATTAMTTCTCTCATAAACTTAATTTCGATTTACAAAGGTCACAGAGGCAACGGGTGAAAAAACGAGCACACAACTTTGCCAAGAAACGCCTTCAGACGACCCGCCTGCTACTAATGAACTGCTCAGTTCACTTGCTAAAAACTAAGGAAGAAGTCTATAAGGCGTAAGTGCACATAWGTCTATGTATAGTATATGYATAKRTATACATATGTACATAGGCACATAATTAAATATAAAAGGCTTACTGCTAAGTGCGTGGCTAAAACGGCAAGCCAGTTTCTAGTTTTATGTACATTCTCTTCATATTAAACCAAAAATATATAACCAGGGCCAATCACAGAGAGCAATATATCGAAATAGAGCGTAAGAAAGGACAAGCTACGGAGCCCCAACAGCTCGCCGAATTGTTGATAATATTGTTGATTGCTACATTTTATGCCAGCAAGTCTACTTACTATAACTACATATACATATATATAATATATATAGATATGTATAAGTACATATATTATTTATTGCTCAAAAGCAACTAAAACACAACTCCAACGGCAGTCACACCAAACCAAACGAATTTCAACACCAACATCAGCGCTATCAGAAAGCTGAATTTTCAAAGCACGACGCTAGTGGAAACAGTCAGCGCATTACGTCATTACAGCGCTTTGGAAACGAGTACAAAGCGATTGTCAGACGACGTTCAATCGGCACAACGGCGTATTGTAAGGGTTGTGTATTGTTGTTGTTATTTTGTGTAACAACGTGTTTAGCCCTTGGCGAGCACCTGCTCCAAGCTTTTCTCATTGTTATTTTTCTATAGTTTTATTTTTCTTGCTCTTCCAGCACTACGAGCGTCATGCGAGCGACTGGCACGCGAAAAAAAAAACGCGGCCGCCTGACTGGAGACACCGCCATCCGCCAAGCGCTGGGCAGCAGGCACCAAGCACCAGGCACCAGGCACTAAAAGGCATTTTTCCCCGGCGGTGGTTTGAGCAGTGGCTAGAGGTCGAAAAAAGAACTCGATATATGTATGTAATTTTTATATATAAGCGATCAAGCGGTTACATAGCTTACTTCAATTTTTATTTGCTAGAMATTTTTTGAACAGAGTTTAATTTGTAATGATTCGAAAGTGACCGAAAGCTTGTTTATAATCATGCAGTCATAACTATTTGTGTAACACTGTAATTTTAATTGTTTTCATAACAGTAATTTGATTAATTTTTTACACCTAACCTCGAATTAGTTTGTGAATGAGAATTTCGAGTGTTTTTCTAAACCTTTATTTGTATAATAYATACTTGCGGCTATAATTAAAGTTATTAGTATTTCCAATCAGTGGAACATACAGGAACATACACATATACATATACAGGCATACATAAACATTTAGTTTCATATATAACATACAACGTTGTATTAAACATATTTCTGACAATAACTATATATACTATATATATAGTGCTTAGAATTTTTTTTTTCTTTTTTTTTTATGAATTCAGAGACTGCTAACATTTTTTACTCGGAAAAGAAAACAAGTTATAACTGAGACATAAAAAGTAATGAGCTAAAGGTTATAAGRTACTGAAAATCAGAAAAAARTCCYTTTTGTTGTAACAACAAAGAGATGAAAAGTGATGCTTAAGTGGTTATAACCTCTTGCAAGTCAAAGAAAATGATATTTTTTTTCATCATATTTAACAATTAAACAAGAAATAATGTGATTTGACAGAAATTAATGCTATTTAATGCGACTATATGTTTTGAAAAAATCTGGATTCCCTTGATTCCTTTGGCAATCTCCAGAGAGACCTCCGAAAAAGTGTGTTTATTGGTGAGAAAGGCTCTTCTGCTTGGAATTATTTTATTTTCCAAAACAAGAAAATATTATTACTATTGATTAATGGAGGTAATGATCGAAGTACTAGCCAAMATTTTGATTTCTGACAAAACGGCGGCCTCCCAAAAAAATTAGTTTCTTAAATAAATCGGACAAGTAGATTTGGAAAAATTTTCCTCTCCGACTCTGAAATCAGCGTTTTGGGAAACAAGTATTGACAAATCTAAGAAGATCGTGTAAAAAACTCRAGTCAATCGAAGTCAGCGTTTARAGAAAAAGGTGTTGACAGATCTAAKAASACCGTRTGAAAARTTGAAGCCRATTGGCTAAGYCGTTTCGGAAATATTTTCCTCAKAGACCCTGAAAACAGCATTAAAAAAAACTTACGCTAMTATCTTCGAAACTCTAAATTCTAAAAACTAATGGAAGTTTAGCTAGTTTTAAAATTTATTTTTAATATCARCAACTGGCGAAAATATCAATCAAACATACATATTTATTTTAATAAATTYATTCGAGAAKAAGCTAAAGCCTTTTTTTTTATCAAAATCTTAAATATTCAATGCAAAAAAGAAATAAATTAAGCTCATAAAGAAGCCACGCGGAGAGATAAAACGAAAGGTATAGAGGGATTTTCATAATAAATGAGAACCGCAATCCTATTCAGAAAATTAGATGCAAAGAGATATATATATAAAAGGATAAAGAATATCAACAACAAAAACAAATGCGGTGTAATGTGCGAAATGAGGTAATTTTATGCGGTCAGGTAATATTGTGGCATTGAGTGGCATAAAAATAAGCAGAAACGACTTAGATAAACAAATTAGTTAAGACGAAAATACCTATACTGGTAAGGTTGGAGCACTACAGATGTATTTATGTATGTGTGCATGGCGAAAACGGTTCAAAGTTGAAGGTAAATGCGATGATGACGGTTAAGATGTATTACAGCATACTAAATTAATAGTTGTGGCAGCAAAAGAAGAGGAGAATCGACAGCGAAACTAAAAGCGACAAGCTATCTGAGCTGAAAGCGCCTTTCGTTCCAACATGGATGTGTGCAGAGGAATGATACAAATAGACATAGAATACCACCTACATACAGGTACTACATAGGGTTACTAAGGGTTGAGTAATACAAATCGTGGCGGTGAATGAATAAAAAGTTGATTTATGTGTATGTATGTAAATGTGTTAGGCGATGTGCAACAAAGTGATGATAATGTAAGGTGATGGTATGTTATGTGTTGATAATGCCACAGAAGCAAAGAGAGACACGCTAATATAAAAATTATACGCACACGCACACATACATGCATTTGTACTATCATACAAATATTTTAGGATGTGCGTATGTATGTATGTATGTATGCATGTTTTTTTATTCAAGGAGAGGCACAAACGCTGCAGCCACAGCCACGCAGGCAGAGCAAACGTAACTGCACAACAACAACAATGACTGTCATTTCAGCAGTTACGTATGTCCTTTGCGGTGCAGAGCATGCGGGCAAAGAGGCGGCTGCAACCAAGTTGCACCAAAGTAACTAAGTGACTCGCTCGTGCATCGCGSCTCCACGTACACAATAGAACTCACCTGTACTGGTGTGTTTGTTGTTGGTTTATCAGTTGCTATTTCKCCTTTGCTGCTGTTGCAACTCCCGTCTGACGGCAGTCGAGTGCGTACGTGAGTATGAGCGCGCGACGCGTGACCTGAATGTAAATGCACTTCCGCTGCAAAAGACGCCGCTTAGCTCTTAAATTTCTTGCACACTGGTTACTTTTTTATGTTCAGCGGCTGTTCGGGGGCCTCTTTACATACATATATTTTTACTACTTCACTACTGCTACGAGATAACAACAAGAATAAACACCGTTTTAACTTTTGTTGTTGTTAATTAGCAATATTTGTGTTATTTTTCAATATTTTTGTTAAAAGAAATTTTCGTAATGTGTGTTTTTTTTTCTCTCTCTCTTTTTAACACTGTCGTCTTTCACCTCAGCTGACGCTCTTAAGTTCTCTTTATTCTGCTGTTTCGTCACGGAAAATCAATAATTTGCTTGTTCACCTTCTCGCTAATGATTTTTCTTCAGCGAATTTTTTTTCGTCACTTGAATTCGTTTGCTTTTATTCTTTGTATGGTTATTAAGAGCGTATAATACCGCCTTGGCTGTGAGCACGAATTCGTTGTTTCCGTTTATTATTCGAAGATTTCTATAATTGATTCACTWAAAGCGCTATTTTAGTCAATTGGGAAAATGTGTTATCTGACTCAGTACAACAAATTGGCCACTTAGCTGTGCTTTAACCCCTCTACAACTCGACGGAAACAAGACACAACCGTTCGCTGCGACGTCAAAATTGCCATTGGAGCATTGGTTGTTCGGTCAGCGCGAGCAGAATATTGGAGCTGTCAATGCGAATGACTGGAGAAGAGGAGTGGATGGTAAATATGCGATTACGGTGATGGCTGCGATGAAAGTGTCAAATAAGAATTCTTAACAAAAATATTGAGGTGCGACATCTAGCGGAGGGTAGATAAATTATAAGAAAATAATAAATGGTATTTTTAAGGGCGCTTTTTTTGAGAGCGTAAAAACGATTCCATTCGTGCTAAGACGGAAGCGAATATTGTGCAAACGGAAATACGTTAGTTCATAAAAAAGGATRTAGAACCAGAGAACGTATTCTCTAGAAAAACTTTGGCTCGTATGTCGTATATAAAAGATATGTGCAAAAAAATATAAGGTATTTTTAAACTGAGTAATTCTTCTTCTTTATTGGCGAATCAATAGCAGCGGTAATAAAGCCAAGACCTACATGCATATGTATATAATACTGCAACATCTGCTAACAAAAGGAGAAACCCTGACATCTGAAGCTTCTTTTGTTAATTTATTTAAATAAGTATTTCCAAGGCACACACTCCAAAAGCTCAAACACATGTGTATACYTTTGCAGGTAGCCTAACTCCAAAGCTCTTAAATTTAAACTTAAGGATTCTAAGGTCTAAAACTAAAAAGTTCCAAAAGCTTAACTCACTAATATCTTTCGAAAAACTACCTTAATTACAACAAATACCCTTACACACAATTTTCGAAKGACACTGTTAGTGTCAAAAGCTCCAAGCGCTTTTATTTACAACTTAATGGCCTTCAAGAAAATGTTGCTAAACATGTTGCTACTCACCATTTTGCTGTGCACCCATTTAATATGGCGCCAATGCCACTGCCACTTCCGATGTTATTGTTGTTGGTGCCCTCTGAATGGCTATTGGCTGACGCCATACAACCATCCCAAGCATATCCTGGTTCCGGCTCATAAGCGGGGTTTGATATTCCTTCGAGACAATAAACCGCAGAAATTTTCTTCCTTTGCACGCTCATTTTTGTAGCTTGATGTGTTTTCAGGTTTGTTTCGCCTCGTAATGTCTTAAAWCAAAATTTTAACATAAGTTTTCCACAATACTTAAAACGCTTCGAAGTTCAATATTGAATATGCAGCGGACTTAAAAGGGTTTGGCGATAACTAAGAATGTTAGTGTCAATCAACTTTAACTGTTCCTTTGACCGAATGATTTATAAGTTCTTTTTTTGGGCATGAGAAATTAGGTTTAATTACAATTTGAAGATTTCTATTTTCCATCTGAATATTTTTATWCGAGGATACACACATAGGAAGGAAAATAGTGAAATTTCTTATGTTAGATTTCTAATGGAGAAATGCTCGCACATAGTTGTTCCGGAATGGTATATGTTTCATCTAGTTTCTGAAGGGGCTGTATCTACTTAGCGGGAGGGGATTACTTTGAGGGAATGAAATGGACAAAATTCATCTTTCAAYTTGATCASTGTAGCAAATATATTTGAGAATATTATCCGAAAATTTTAAGTTGATTCAGCAAACATTTTCAAAAATGTGAGCGTTTTTGTCATGTAATGTGTAACTTATGCCCGGTTTCACAGTCCATTATTAAGGTGTGCTATGATAAAACAGGAAAATAGTGTTTTACAGTGCATACTTAAGTTATGCTTAARTACTGAAAATGGGAGACTTAAGTAGTGCTTAAGTAACAGCTGATTTGTGTTTTGAATTTTCACTTATTTGTCAAGAAAAAGAAGAAATAGGAAATTATTTTTTGTGAAAAAATATGGAATTAGATTGAGATTTCCACCAGTTCCAATTGGTGYTCCGACTTGCTAGCGGTGAAATGCGGGATACTTTTGTTGTTTTCATCTATTTTCGTTATAACTTTTCTCACAAATTTATGCATTGTCAGTTGAAATTTAAATATTTTAAACATATTTTTATGGATGACATTTGTAAAACATATGTTCTCCATAACGTTGCCATATATGTGATAACTAAATTTTATAGAAATTAASCATTGACTGTGAAACGCAAACGACTACTCCGTCTGCAATAATGTTTAGCTAAGATTTTATTTGGGCACAASTTATGTATRGACTGTGAAACCGGGCATTAGCATTAAGATTTCAAGCTTTTAAGCACGTTTTGACACAAAACTCCATTTTCAGAGTCAGTGTGAGAAATTTCTTCGATACAGCTGAGCCGATCGGCTTGATTCTTTGTGAGGTAGTGGTCGAAAAAATAAAATCCTTGATACCTATTAATATCGATGTTTTAAACTACTCTGAAGAACAGTTATTTCAAAAAAACTTTATTTTTTCTTAGAGAAGCCTCCCATTTTGACAAAAATTAAAAAAAAAAAAATTTTTATTTTATTTCGGCTTTTGAATCTGAGACAATTTTAAGTTCATCACTGCCTGACATTTTTTTTTCGTAGGTCATCCTGAAGCTCAGCAACGGGACTAAGGAAATTGAAAGTTTTTCAAAATGAAATAAAATATATTTAATTATGTAAATGTACATAATTTTTATTAATTTTGTACATAAAACAAAAAATTTATAAAAAAAATGGGGTTTCCGACTTGAAAGTAGAAAAAAGCTCTTAAAAGCTGCATTTTTGAAGGTTTTAGTTAAACTCTTACCCTCAAATGCAATTAAGGGTTGTATGAGTTTACGGATTTCAGAAAATCTATTATTTTATTAGCTTATTGTCTTATCGCCTATACAGTATTGTCCAAAATTTTTAAGTTGATCCGAGTAATAGTTTCSGAGTTATAGCCTTGAGAACTTGTACCCTCAAGGCCAGCTAGGCTAAATGCGGCGCCTTTAAACACATTTTCCGCGAAACTGTGTTTTCGAAGTCGGTTGACAAGACTTCTCGATAACTAATCAACCGATCTTCATGAAATTTTGCAAAGGTCGTTTATATACAACTTTAAAGGCTTCGATGAAGCCTTTTCGATTACAACTATTGTGAAATTTGAATTTTATTTGTAAAATTGTCTGCCAAAAGTCCAATTTTCAGTTTGTTTTGTCTTTCCTCCAAGTTTTAAGTTAAGGCTTTAACTAAAACACGTATTTTTTCACTTTAGATGATCCTGTAAGGAGTTATSCAACCAACTCTTTTTTCCGAGGGGTTACCGGAAATAGTGTCGCAATGTCCGAGTTTAAAATATTTTTTACAAAAATTTCAGAATTTMTTTATTAAAGTCTAATAAAATGTTTCAATTTTTATATCAGAAAAAAATGTTTGAAAAAGGCTGTTTTTCCCGATTAAACCCATGCACTGTATCTCAAATATTTTATACTCTAAATAATTTTACGTAAGTAACAAATATAAAAAATTTGTACAGAAGGCACACTCGTACTAATAAAAATCGAAACCATAGAACTTGAAATGCATACAATGGACACCTAAGTTTCGTGGTTCATCTTTTGTGATATGCTGATTTCTACTCCGGAATAWCCGATATGTAAATTTGTTAACATTGTTTTCCTGTTACCATAAATATTACTTTTCAATTCAAAACATCGAAAAGGATATATTTTGCACTATTTTWATAAAAAATAAATCACAATTTCGGTTGCTCAATAATATTTGCAATCAATATTTTAATAAAATTATTATTTCATTTTTTTAAACCGTTATTTGTTTAATTTTCAATACACCTTTTGCTTAGCATTTCATCTGATTATATTTCGATTGGTGTTCACCGCGTTACGATTCGCTACTTAAGACAGCAAATTCTAAACTGTTTCAGCGAAATATTTCGATCACTGCGTACTAATTGGGCAGATCGCGCCCCGAAACACAYACAGCTTCCGAATTTGTATGTGATTAGTGAGGCGCGTAATTGTCCAAGGGTGAAATCGCACAAACACATAAACTAATACATTTAATATATATTTTATATTGTGTGTATTTAAAGCAAAATAAACTAAACTAGCATCGATGCCTGTGTCTTCTTCGAGGTGCGGTCAATGAATTACTCGATTTTTTTTTTAAATCAAAGCTCGCTTTGCAACTTACATCTAATCTAGTGCTAAGTACGTACTCGTGTGCAAGTGAGCACATACTTGTTAGATATGCATAAATTTAACTAAAAACTTTATTTATGGGGCGTTTTCAGAATGCTCYGCTAACGATTTAGTTGTCGTTTTGAGGCAATTAACTGATAGCTGGCCAGAGAATATCGGTCAATAAAATAAACTGCACGAAATCTTTATTTGTTGACAGTCATACGAATTGCAAGTTCGTGCTTTAGTACCGTTTTAAGGCAACATGCGCTTCGGTACTTTTTTCAGTATCTTTACATATAGTCTTTTAAAAAGTGAGTCGATAAGCTGGCAACTGTATACCTTTGACCTGGTTTCTGTCATAGTGATAATTCGGAGAAAATAAAAAAAATATAGCATAGATCCCTTAACTACTTTAAAAAAGTTAGATTTCTTCTAAAGTTTTTCAATTTTAATTGAAAAAATTAAATCAAAACAAGAAAAAAACTTAATTTCGCCATGTGCATKTTTTTACATCCTAAAAGACTATAGAACGATCTTTATATTGATCTTGGTAGGTTAGTTTCTCTGAGAGCTAAATGCTGCTCTGAGCAATATGYTCRGAAAYCGATTAGAGATATGGARAGCTTTTTTGTTCCATACAAGCKTTTGATTCCGATTTTTCGGTTTACATTACAGTTATAACTTGCACATGCCATAGTAGTCCGACTTGAAGAACTTCTTCKGGATTGCAGTATTGCCCCGGGCAATAACCCATGTCAAATTTGTTGCAGATGCTTCSGCAAATTACAAAGCTTTCCATTCAAGTACTTTTTGATCGTTCAG